AGGAAGAAAAATATCCTTTAAAGTTTCTGACCTGCAGGTTACTCATCCACAAAGCAGTTATGAAAAACAGCACAGAGACCATTTCCCCATGCCTGAAAGGGACATTTTCCACAGTATTTGCGTAGTTGGAGATAGAAGAGGCTCAGGAAATACAGAAAGAGTGAAATGAAGACCTGGAGCATCACAGACTGGAAAGGAACATATGGAATATAATAATACACGAATCATAGCATAATTCACTTACTGGTTTGCTTAGCAAGTGTGAGAGCTTCATGGATTTATGAAGAATGTGCTCTTTTACCTGCTGCATTCAGGAAAGAAACATGATTCACTGTGGTGTAGGGGATGTGATAAAGGAAAAGCAGCCCCAGTAGATGGTGATTTGGAATGCAGAAGGGAACACTTTCAGTGAGAAGTGTGTAAAAGGTACCAAACTGCAATAAATGTATACATGGAACAAGTCGTAGTTAATGGATTCTAAACCTTGTCTGAATGTGGGATAGTGGTACATGTCTATGGTGTATTCACTCTGGAGGTTGAAGCAGGATTAATCAGCTCAGAATTCAATTTGGGGTGTAGCCTGGTCAAATTAGGGAGCCCTCATCTCAAAGAGAAAAAAACAAACCACAAAGAAGGCTCTCCAAAAAGCCTGAACATCAAGGAGTGCAAAACAAGTGTAAGGGAATTCCATTATTGTGTGCATTTACTGTGGTCTTGAATATCACCCACTGAGGCCTAAAGGTCCATCCCCGGGGAGGGATTTCACACGGGGTAGCAGCACAGAACAAGCTGGGGACAGATACACTGAAAGAGAATCGTGAAAATTACCATTTCTCCTCACATCTTATCAAAAAGTCAACTTCAGCAATCAATATGATTTCACTCCTACAGAATAAGAAAACTATCATTCTAAGAATACAAGGCAGTATCAGTTTATTTTTTTTTTATTTTACTCTGCATTTTTAAATTTTTATTTGGTTGACTTGTTTTCCGCTTTTTTTGTTTGAGGTTTGTAGATGTTAATTGGTGCTATAGTTAGTGTTATCCTTGTTTTGTTTTCAATCGATGTTTCCCTCCGTTTTGAATATCGTTTATTTAAGCTAGGGACATTGTATGACAGATGTAAAACTTCAGGTCTTGTGTTTTCTTTGCATTTTGTTTTATTAACATAGAATCTCACTAATTTGCCCAATCTGGCCTTTTACTTATGATCCTCCTGCCTTAGCTTCCTGTGTAGCTGGGAGAACAGGAACTAAAACAAGTCATTAAAATGTAGGCAAATAGACATTAGTGCCCAAAATTGTTTTAGATAAGTCTGTAATGAGAGATACAGGGATTGAAGTTGTCTTTTTATACGTGACCAGGTCATTGTTTGATTTC